AAAAAAAAGTGGGTTTTTATTATAGGACTGAGTATGGGCTTTTAATCATCATTGATTGACCTTTTCTCCAATTTCTACTGTTATCTAGCTTTCATCTACAGTTAATTAAGGATAAACTTTAAAAAAATATCTTTTGTTTTAAATTTAATTACTTTCACCAACTTTAATTAATTTTAATGGTTTATGCGAGGAAAGTTGTGATGCCCTATACTTGAGAATAAACTGAGTATACACTTCATTTGGTTCTTAATACAAAATAAATTTAACTAATTTTGTGTTTATTAAAAAATGATAGTTATATTTTTAAAATTATTAAAAACATATAATTTTTTAATTTTACACTTTTTTCAGTTAATAATTATATTAAATTTGTTATTAGAAATTCAAACCACAATGAATAAATAAGGGATACAATTAGAAAAAAAAAATTAATTACCGTACCTTTGCCTTAGATCAATAAAATAAAGTTTTTAAAGTTTGGCTCATATTAAAGGCATGAGGGAATTAGTTTTAATATGATATTAAAATTCTTTGGAATTAGTTTAGTTTATTATAGTCTCTCCTTTGAGAACTTCAACATTTATTGTCTAAGAATTAATCGTAATAAATTCAACTATTATTCTACACGTGGATTGCCGGTCCATTTTTAATTATTGTAGGGTCCCTAAAAACTGTTACTACTTTAATTCAAACACCAGGAGGTAAGCCGCGGAGAAACTCTGGCAATTTTTGGAAAGTTGAGAAGAAAAAAAAAGAATTATAATTTTTTATTAACATTCTTAATTGATTTTATGAATTATTTTTATTGATACATCATATTTATTAAATTACTAGATTTTTATTAAAGAATTCAATATTTTATTTTTTTAAATTTTATTTTAATTATTTAACTTAATATTGTAATGAAAATAACGCATAGTTATTGGATTTTTATAATTTCAATTCATCATGATACTAATTTCCAAAAGAATATACTTTTAAATGAAGATAATTTGATGAATAAAATTCATTTCATGATTTTTTTATTTTATTTTATTTTATATTTTTTGTCAATTTATTTAAGATAAGACCGAAGTCAATATTGTATACTAGGTTAGCCCCATCTCAATCTAGGTACATAGATAAGGCACTAGGTTGATAATTAACCTAATTCTGCCAAGTATTTTGTGCACTCTTTGATTAAAGAGGTGAGTAAGACATTGCATTTAATTAAGGATATTTATTAAAAGATAGGGTAATTTTATAATATTAGGAATGATTGATTTTAACAATAAGCTTTTTTAACTTGTATGGTTGACCACTTATTTTCAACTAATTTACTGGAACAAATTAAACATAGTTAGATAAATAAAAGTGTGTGTAAAAAATTATTAGTTTACCAATAATTTAAAATATAAATTTAATCCATAGTTTTTTGTTCTAGTAAAAGTGCCTGTAACTACTTAAGTAAAAGCTCTGAAGTTCAAGTATATGAGAATAAAAAATGTTTTTGAAAAAGTTATCTTTAATTGAGATCAGCAATATTCAAATTTAATTTAATTCAATAATCATATAAAAACATGATTTTAAAAAGGCACTAAATAATATTCCACAGCCAACTCATAAAAAGTTGGAAGCAAGGGCAATTTTGGGGAAAACAAGAAGCTAATTATTATTTGACCTTTTTATTATATAAAATGAATAATATATATAAGTAACATAAGTTCCCGTCCTCAAGTAAGTCGTTGATGATTCAATTTTAAGGTTTTGTTGATAAAGTGGATCTAATTGAAAATAATCTATCCTTCATTGTTAATCCCGATTTCTTACCATTTTTGCGTAAAAAATAATTTGAAATCATGAAATGTTGCGGAATATTATTGATTTGGTAGACGAAAAATAAAAAGATAAACATGATTTTTAAATCAAAAAATTTATTTTGTTTTATTCGGAAGATTTGACGAAGTTTTAAACAAAAATGGTATGAATAAAGGACAACAAAATTCTATCATGCAACAAGCAAGTCATGCGTTAAAGGGTTAGTTTAAATTTAGATGATTACTGTGAAATGCTCAAATTGGGATTAATCAATCAATTAATTCTCAAATGCCATAGGATCTCCATGGAATCAAAGGTGAAATTTTTACAAGTTATGTTTTACATATAATCATCAAAATACTTATTATTTTATTTAAAAAAAAATTAACCCAACAACTATCAATTGCTGGAGCTTTGGTGATCAGTAGTGATAGTCGATGATGGCTAGCCAAAATTTTGATAGCCGGTGGTTGGTGTGTTAATATTTTTTTTTAAATTAACAAATTTATAAATAAAGGATTTGGAATTTAAAAATAATTTATATATTTTATGGAACCTTGTAGTAATATGAATCCATGTAAAGGACTTTATAGTGATTTGTTCAATATATAATTCTAAAAGATCAATAGACATATGGTTGATTGAGGCTTTATACAATGCATAAGACATGGCATCTAGTTATATAATTTCTTTAATTAAAAATGTTACAAGTGAATTAATTTTTTTAATTACTTACATGTATTTTTTTATTAAAAACAATATTGTTTAAGGCACAATTGAATATTAAATATGAATATATTTTTCAACAATAATTCAAACCTTGAATGTGTTAAATCTTGAATACTTATTAGAGATAGAACAAATATTTGTTGCTTTTTAAGTTTTGAGGCGCTTTCATATACCACATGGTAACAACATATTTACATTAGAGGTTGAATTTAAGCTCACACTCTTGTAATGAATTTTGTATAGACTCTTGTAAGGTATTAGTAATATTTATTCCAGTTGAACAAATTTTCGGTAGACACATACTATTTCTATTTCACAAAACTTTCTCTTATTTGCAATTAATCGAAATTCAAATTTTGTCATGAAAATGAAATTTACATTTAAATATTTTGATATCTTTTCAAGAAAAAAAAACTCTAGATTCACAACTTAGCTAATATGAATTAATTTTCTCCAAAAATGCAGGATGAAAGGAAACTAGTTTTCAAGATTACAAGCATTTAATTAAAAGAACTACACACACATATTAATGTGTATCTTTTTTATTTGACAACCAATTTCTAAAAACTAATTTCTTTTTAATTAGAGAGATTACAAAAGTGAGCGTTCTCTCTTCCAACTAAACTCTTGTTTTCTTAATTGTAATTTTATTATAATTCGAACTATGTAATTTTGGGGTTAAATTAGTGTGAGTGTAAAAAATGTATTTATAAGAGTTATTTTTTATTGAACCTAACAATACTTGAATTTAATTGAATAGTTTATATATCAAATGGTGATATAGAAAGTGCATTGTTTTTAAACATAAAAATATAAGCCAATTTTTTATATTTTAAGAAGAATATTGTATTACTCCCGCGGTTTCATGATAAAAATAATTTCAAAAGAAAATTTTTGTTTCAATTTATATCTTTTTAAAAGTCCAGACCAATTTTTTCTCTTATTAAACCCTTGTTCTTGAGTAACATGAAAATGTTTTAATACATTAAATTAAAAGTAAATTTGATAAGGTACTTAATATATCAATGTATTAATTGCATTTTTTAATGCATGTGCTAAAACCTCACTTCCTTTTATCCAAAATACAAGACACCTATGCCTACCTTATAACAGTTAATAAAGATACTTAAAAGTGGATTGTGTTATTAAAATGGTAAAAAAAATTACTACTTTAAACAGTGCCCTTCAATTGAAATCAATATACCCTATTCACCAAAAGAAAAACAATCAACATATACTAATGACCCTTAATTTCTTTTTGACATGATCTCTCACTGCAATAAAATTAATAACGGGCATTTGTGAAAAGGAAATTTGTAATGTTATTTATAAAGTGTCTTATATTTTATGACATTAGTTGGGGAGGAAAGATGCCTCATCTCTCTCTTTTTGTTAATACAATTACTTATTATTCATAAGTTGAGTCGAGTAAAGCCATGTTGATGTGACAAAACTCTCCAAATGAGTATTTGACATAGCTATATATATTCAAGAATCAAACTCAATACTATTAGTTAAATTAGCACAACTTTTTGTTGATTAAAATACATGCTTGTTGGCAGAGGAACCTCCTTTTGTTTCAATGAAAAAAACGAAGGGGAGTGGAGCTCTTTCCCCAAGATTGAGAGATTTCTCTCCCCCCTCTCTTCTACTAAGTGAAGGAGGCTATGGGCACTTAAACATGAGATCTCAAATTTATGAATACTAATTTTTTTTTTTTAAAGAATGCTACCTTCAATTGGACTGAGAATGCTCCAACATGATCAACTAGATTTACATAACTATCTTACATTTTGAACCATCACTAGTGAATAGAAAATATTACTTCTTTTCCAAAATTATAAGACAATTTAAGACAATATTATGTATGTAAATGAAGTTTAATAATAACATTTTACAAACTTATTTTTTTATATAAAAAATATAAACTTTTAAAAATATCCTTAATTTAATATAATTTTAAACATACACATTTAATCATTATAATACAATTATTTTAATTTTCTTGAGTTGAAGGGTAACATTGGAAGAGCATTATTAATAAAATATTATTTTTATTAAATTATTTTATTTTTTTAGACAATAAATTATTTTAAGAATTATTTTATAATTTAAAATGGAGATAATATCTTATGTTTTAGCTGGGTGTGAGTAAAATTCTATCAATATTTTGAGACCGAGGGAGCATTTTTTTTGATATTATTATTGCAATCATATTCACGTGAGATGTAGAATGCCATTGAAAAGATTAAGAAAATGATTAGGCAGTTGTAAGGGAAGGCTAAAATGGGAATTGTGATGATCTACATGGATTAGCCCGCAGTAATTCGGACAGGGTACTACGTGGCAGCTTAGGGTGCACCGATGTCGTGGACACAACCCTCTCTCTCTCTCTCTCTCCCCACCCACTTCCTCGTCTCCCCACACACACACTCTCACACACCCTCGCTTCCTCCTTCGCTTTCTCTTTTCCCTTCTCTCTCCCCCGACCCTTCCCTCTCTTCCCCCCGACCCTTCCCTCTCTTCTTCGCTTTTTCTTTTTTTCCAAAGTTTGATTTCACCCCTCAATCCCCCCGAAATTACATGGTCCTACCACTCGCCGGAATCGGAAGCCATGAACGCCGGCACCGCCACCTTCCGTTCCATTCTCGACAAACCCCTCAGCCAGCTCACCGAGGATGACATTTCCCAGCTCACACGCGAAGATTGTCGCAAGTTCCTCAAAGAAAAAGGTTCTTTCTCTTTTTTTCTTTCCCTTTTTCCCCCCACTCTCTCTCCTTCTATCTCTCTCTCTTACATTTTTTTATTTCCTCTTTTATCCTTCTTCCCTTCCAAAATTTCCGGCGCCTGAAAACGGAGGACCTCCTCCATTGGTTTTTTCTTCGGAAAAAAATAAAGATTAATGGGTTGGTTAAACAATTGGGTTGAGCAAATATTATAGTGACTGGTTGTGAAATAAAGTATGCGAGAAATTGATGGACGATACCACGTGTCCGTACAGGAATGCGTCGGCCTTCGTGGAACAAATCGCAGGCGATCCAGCAAGTTATTTCCCTCAAAGCTTTGCTCGACCCGGCTGACAACGATTCCGGCACCGGACCCGTACGGAGATTCCCTTATGTTCCAGCTCAAGAAAATACCCCACCTGTGAGTGCTTTTTCCATCGCACTGACAGTTTGTTTGGTTGCTGAGAAAGTGCGTGAAAATGCTGGGAATGGCAGGAATCGTCCAATGGAGTGAGCTATCCTTGCTTTGTTGTCTCACGGCTTCTTGAATGGTTGTGTAGGATAATCTAGATGCGACTGGTAGTGGCGGCGGCGGCGGCGCTAATGTCACCGGAGTTGAGGCGACATCGACTGGTCCGACTGAAGAGCCGCCTTTCCATGCTGCCGAAGAGCTTCCCAAATCTGTGTCATCTGGAGAGAAACCAACTAGCATTGAAACGAATGAGAAGGTCGTCAGTCCCAGGTCTGTTCTTGTTCTCATTTGAGTTCAAAACCCTTTTGCTGAATGGGGCATTGCCTTGGTTAGCTTTTGGGGTCTTTTAGCCGCTTTTCAATGAATAATGCGTTCCCGTCCAAGTTAATCCATTTATGAATTATCGAATCGGGTACTTCTGGATATTTCGCTCGGCTGAAATTCAACTATTCTTGAGGTGTACATGTTCAACTAGAGGGGAATGTTATGAGGAGCGTGGAAAAAGGCTGAAGTGTGCTTTTGAGTAGGTTTTCTTTAGGCATTAAGTTAAAAACTTAAAACAGGTCCGTTATTCATTGGTAGATGGGAATGCTACAGAAAGTAGATTTTGGTATCCAATGTTGGATGTGTGTGGGGAAAAGTGGAGGCAAACGACTCAGTGATCCCGATCTGAAAGCCAACCCTTATTTAGGTCATTTAGTCCATTAGGTATTGCTCAGAGCCAGTAAAATGAATGATCCTGCAGCCTGCTTGGTCTGGATGCGCTCTTGGTCATTTAAATTGTCAGATTTTTCAGAGCTACATTGGATATGTGAAATTATGTTTTCAGCAAAGACGGGGGAAGGGTGAAACATTGGAGAGTGCTGTGATATCTAAATCAGATATTATATATAAAATATATGCTATCTCTGAGTAAGTATATCAGAATAACTCCATCAATGTTAATGTAATGTATTTTTGCATGCATATTAATTATCTTATGCTTGATCAGCCCTTTCCATTTATGGTGGGATTCATATGCAGTCAGGAAAAGATATTATTGCCATGAAAATTCGGACGATCCCATCATTGCTTTTGTAAAATAGTCTTCTATTTATATTTTGCTTTGATATAACTTTGGGGCGGATTGTTTGGAAGAAGAAAATCTACTGGAATAAATGAAAATATTCTTTAAGTAAATGTTTGCACTTTCCAGATTCAAGGGCAACTGACAGGGGTATAAATATGTGTTGGTCTACATGGAAAGGCCTGTTTGGTCTATCCATAGCATGTAAACTACTAAACTAGTGCACCTGTAACCTGTTTGTTTGAATTTTGAATCAGTAGATGTAACAGTAAGCAATGACTTACAGATGACATGGTTGGAAGTATTATCCGTTGTCTATTGGGACCCTTAGCGAATAATTTCTGCGAAAGGAGAATTTTGGCCATAATTCTCTGACATTCTCCATCTGTATCCATTCCCATGTTGAAATAACTATATGGCTGCAAATTAGTCAAATCCTCGTAACAATTCCATAGAAAGATTGGAACAGCCTGCAAGCAGCAGTTTATACCCAGAAGAAAGGAAAGCATGCACAAGTGGTGTTTTCAGGTGTTCCAAGTTGACTCTAGTGTCCTGGCTTATTTATGTTTCAATTTAAAACTTGTGCTCCAGGATGCTGTCAAAGTGTTCAGGAGTTTCATCCTTGTGATCATATATTGTTGATGTAAATAAAAAAGGAGAAGAAATGAAGCTTTTATACCTTGCTTCCTTTATTAAATAGCTGCTTTCCAAATAGAGAGTGATTTGGATCCTTGAAAATGTTGTTAGTTTAATCATCAAAATTTACATATGATATGGATGGCCAAGGGCAGACTTATATTCCTTCCATATATTGCTTATGCCAGTTCTGAACAGAATTAGTTATTGTGGTTACAGAGAGTGTGCAACTAGCGGGCCTGTTGGGCAAATGACAATTTTCTATTGCGGTAAGGTGAATGTGTATGATGGGGTGCCACCAGATAAGGTAGGTAATGGTGCTTCCTCTTGCATGGATGCATGGTGGTAAATGCAATACTATGTCACCTTCCAATGCAGCCATATGTGGATTTGCAGGCACGGGCAATCATGCAGCTTGCAGCAAGTCCCATCTATGTACCTCAAGATGAACCATTCAAAAGAAGTACATCAGTCTGGCCTTGTCATTTACAGATGGATAAAGATACCCTTGTCCCACTTGATGGCACAATCTCTCAGTTTGCTCAAGCAGGTAATCCTCAAGTAGCAGAACTGTCTGATTTTACTTTAACGTACTCTAGAGTTAGGCTATCCCATCCTCTGTTCACCAAAAACACTAAAAAGAAAGAAGAAAGTTACTCTAACGCCTGGGGGCATGCATTTTCTCCATTGAACGTTGCATGCTCTCCTAACATTTCTTCAAGGAATGCATTAAAAGTCCTTGATAGATGAACTGCTGTATGTTAATTATAGAAAATCATTAATTAAAAAGGGTTTCAAACCAACAATTGTTTCCCATCGTAGTTTGCCTTTCATGTTGAAAGAATTAGAATTCATTCATACTAATGCATTATACACGTTCCTGTAACACATTGGACCTCTTGACAATGTTATCTAGGATTTAGTTGCTGTTGTTTTTCTTTTTTCCTTTTTTGGTCTGAACTGCGTACATTTTTAATGCCGAGTTCATAGCTGTAGTTAATGAGTTCTTCTGGTTTGTTGCTGGTCAGAATCAACATCTTTCGCTTCTTCAAGTTTAAAATCATGATAACTTGCACTCGGATTACTTTGCAGCTAAGAATGTTGGGTTGTCTGCATATTACAATTTTTGAGATGTTGGGTTCTTCTTGGTTACTGTTTCAAAATTCAAATTTACAGATAAGATGGTGGAGTATCCTTTGCATTACAGGGAGAAAGGGAGCGCAGCTCGTGATTTTGGTAAGGACTACTAAATCCATGGATGCAGCCCGCCAGAGCCTTTCCCGGTTTTTTCATTTCTTTTAATGCACACCCCCACCAGCCTGAGGGGTTTGTTTCAAATCAGAGCATAGGATGTTTCCTTTGGTTTGCCCTTCCTTTTCCTTCCTTCTATTTGGCTAGCTGGTGAGTAGAAGGGATAATTGCTATTATAATATGATGAGTGAACACACGCTTCTCCTTCGAAGATTTTGAAGAGTGGTGAAAATCGGTGTATTAGAATAAGGAGTCAGTGGCAACTTGAGTCAGTTATTATTATTATTATTATTTTATTTTAATCTGGTGTATGTTTGAGCTGTAGGGTTTGTTACTATTCTGCTACCTCAGTAGGTTCTAGATGTCAGCTCCACTTTGGAATGCAGCAACCTCTTGTACCTCTAAGTATTGCCATATCTACTAATAAAATCGCTATGGTCGAATGGATGTCTATTTCAATATCTTTAGTCCTTTAAATATTGGGGCAATATCCTGCTCTATGTCTAACCATGCTTAAAGTGATTCATTCTTCTTACTTCTATAAGCATCAGGGCATAATTTAAGTTTTTACTTCTAGTGCCTATGTGTAGTAATTTTTGTTGTTGTGAGTTTAAAAATTCATCTCTATGTTGAGATTGCAAGTATCTCTTAACCATACAAATGAGAGTGTCACACAGGGGGCAAGTGGACGAATAATTGTTCAACCATTCTGAGAGGGTAGTGAGGCCTGTAGATTTTCAAGCAATCTAAAGCAGTTATATCTCAAATTCTAGAAAGTGATAACTGTTAGTGTTTGTTGGTTTTTCAAAGATGTAGATGGTCAGGCAAGCAGGAAAGTGTTATTGCAGCGATATCGAGAAAAGCGAAAGGATAGGTATTCACACAACTTAGCTATTATTTGTTAATTGACCTTAATTTTGTCCTGAGCTCCCAGATTTAACTATTATTGATGCTCTGCCTGATTATTCTCTCTTTTTGCTCATTCTTCTCTAGGGGAAGATTAAAGAGCAAGAGATTTACAGGAGTAACTTCTTCTAACATGGAAATGTATTTCAATCGTCAAGTGAAGGTCCATGCCTCAAATGGGAATTCAAGCCGCAGTAGCACAAGCTCTCCACCACAGCCGAGGCTGCCTCAAGCTTCTGGTGGCTCAGCTGACAACCAGCCAAAGATTGGCCTTCCTGTTGATCTCAATCACAAAGGTAAGCTACAAATCTTTTATTTAAATATTAAATGATAAAAAAGTTCTTACTTCTCAACTAAAGCCTAATTATAAACCTCCTGGTAATGTCAGTTAGAGTAGTATGAATATCATAAAGGAGATCGTGCTGCTTGCAATATAATGCTTGTGGGAAAAAAGTATATACTTGAAATGTAAACCAACTTACCAGCTGTGAGGTGAGGGTATCTTTGCACTTCTTGTAAGATGCTTGACTCATAGCCAGGCATATAACAATTTGAAAGAAGCGGTTAATAATTTTTTTTAAAAAAAAAGAAGAGAAGAAGTTGTTAATGATAGCTTTTATGGCTAGTGATTTTCTTGGTAATTGAATCCCAAACTAAGTAAGGAGCTGTTTGGTGCACTATTATCTCCCATTCCTTGGTATCTTGGAAACATAGTATAAATGCCCAAGGATATGATAATGTGGCATTTAAGACTATTATGTTTGTTGTGACAGTTGGAAGGTGTAATAAATTGGATACAATGTGTATTTTCGTAAAATAGCTTACAAAATTATGATTACAGAACTTGTCTGTGCATGGATATATGATTTCTCAGTGGATTTGCAGATTTTCAAGAATGCTAAAACGTAGGGACTCTTCAGATAGATGAAGAACTGGAAGTGTTGAGATGACTTAAAAGAGCAGTTTAACTCTCTCACCGTGTAGCCGTTAGAGGCCTAATGCAAGAATTTTGAGCTGATTGCTCATCAGTTAGAGGCAGTGAAAATGTTAGGATGTTTTTAACTGCAGGGTGAATTTGTGTTTGTTTTAGGATGGTTAAGAGTCCTGCACTCTCACCTAATCAATTTTGTAACATGAGGCATCTAATTTAATCCTTTCCCACTATGATATATGTAAAGGCATAGTTATTCTTCTTCCTGAAACTTTCTTTTCCCTCATCTCTTATTTTCTTTTTATTAGGTTGTAGTAGTAGTACTAGTATGCTTGCCCAGTGCTTGTGTGGAAGTCAGAAACTCTAACTCCATCAATTAGTATCTACATATTCTGTAGGAATATTGTGTGAGCTTTGATGCAAGTGTTTCATTTGTGACCAGAATGGAATGTGGGAAAAGAGTGTGAGAGAGAGAGAGAGAGAGAGAGAGAGAAGGTGAATGCCAATCATTATTAAATATTAAAGAAGTGTTATTATATACCGGAAAAAGAGATAGTATGTCATCCAATCTCTAGTGAGATTGATCCTTGGTTTTCTTTTTCGTTGGTCTTTTAATAATTATAAGTTGAATGAATGTGCTTATTCATTACAGGATGAGTTTCCTTTTACTAATTGAATGTTGGTGCTCTGCATTGATTGATAAAATCAATATCATCAATCAATCGTAAAATCTAAAAAATCAAGAATTTTTTTTTTTGGGGTTTTATTTCTGTGCAGAAGTACGGGTTCTCTTGTTTAGATTTGTTAATCACGAAGTAGTATATCTCATGGGTTGGGTTAACTTTTACGGGACGACAAGCTTGAATTTTCAAAGCGTGTGACGATAAAGTTAACTGGACAGTCAATAGTAGATAAAACATACTATTTGTGCTATGTGAATATGGGGAAAAAATATCTTTGTTTTTTATTTAAAGTTGCCATCAGATGTATTAATGACTTTTTGCAAGTAAAACTCAAGTTTCTTTTTATAATACAAATGAACCATGTTTGCTTCAATTGCTTGATATATAACTTAATTTAACTTTCACTTTTATGTCCAAAATATTAACTTTCACTTTTATGTCCAAAATATCCCACATCAAGATTTAAACAAAATATTAATGCTCATAATACTTAAATTAAGATCCTTTTTCATAGAATGCTCATTGAATTAAATTTCATCAAAACTTACTTAATTTTTCAGTATAATTTTTAAGTTTTGATAATAGAATAAATGTTTAAAAATTGGGTTGGGTTGAATGTAGCCTCTATATTAAATAAATACATAAACCATGGAAATTTTTTTAATAGATAATTGATTCAAGATGTAATTACAGAAGGAAAGCAATAAAAGTCACATGCTTGCAATTTATCAGTTTCATTCGCCTGAATGTTGACAAAGTTAAATATGTCATAAGTTTGCCTTCTGTTATCTGCAATTATTATTATTTGGACTTTGTTTCCATTAATAATATGTTTTTCTGGTTAAATGAAAAGAAAATTACTTCATTAGTCATTGAGTTGCCATGTCACAATAAGTAGTGAAAGTTGATTATAAACATAAAGATTCAAAATTTGCAATAAACTAATCCTTTTTATCAAACAAGATACAATGCATGGATAAATAATAATATTTTCCCCTTACCCAAAAACACGCTATTAATAATATAGATTATTAATTCTAATGAACCATGTATGTCGATATTGATAGAAATAAATAAAGCATATTTTTTCCTGTGCATCTTATAAAATTGAGGTAAATCGCTTTCATAAATTATTACTAATATAGATTACAATACCAGTGAAACCAGTCCTCGTGGTGTAGCCAAAAAGTCTTGACCTCGATGCTCTTGCTTCGATGATTATAAATGTCATATTTTATATTCATAACAACGTCTAATTGAGAAAAAAAAGTTTATTTGATTACTTGTCTCAGAATAAAAAACTATACCTTTATATAAAATTTTCAAGCCTAAACCTACATAAAGTATTAATCTTACTCCATCAAATGTTGGTAAGAGTTAAATGTTAATTATTGAATGGAAATAATAATTACGGAAGATGAAGTGAATGTTGAATGTTATTTTGCAAACTGAATAAGATGGTGACAAAAAGGAAAAACAAGGTTTTTAGACTCAGCCTAAAAGCTATGTAAAATAAATATTAGGCTCAGACTAACCCCAAAGTCTCTTCTTTATTTTATTTATTTATTTATTTTTTTTTAACTTTTTTACCCTCTAAAAAGTTTCTTACTTATTCTCAGTCTCAAAGAGTCAAATCCTAATCACTGAAGTGTTGAGTTATTGGAAAACTAATTTAACAAAAATGGCACATGAAACCTTGAGTATTTTTATCGCTACAATAGCTGACTAATGAATTGGCTTTAAATATTGGGTCACATGTGCTTACCAAGCATTGTCTTCCCTTCACCTGGATAATGTGCAAGCTCTAATTTTACTCATTATTGGACGAGTACTTTTATTCATGGTAATTTACTTATATTTTATGATCTATCTTATATATATATATATATATATATATTGGATAAAAACATGAAAATGAAACAATATGTTTATTATTTATTGGGGAGCAAGATGAAGATATTGATGGTGTCCAATTAGCACAACACTTAAGCTCTCTTCAGCTTGAGATTCAAGTTCAAATAATTTGTTTACCTATGATGATGATAATTAGATATTTAGTTATTTTTTAGAACATATATTAAAACATTTGTGTGATCTTGTAATGGACTTTGGATTTTGATGAGCATTATATAATTAAGATGGATTTTGCAAAAAATTTAAAAAAGGGCTTTAAGGCTGATACGAGCTTTGATATAAAGGGCCGGTTTTGAAAAAGAATGTATTTTAAAAAGAACAAAGCTTTAAGCTCAAGTTTAAATGGGTTAAGCTCATAAGGATCAATTAACTTATTTCTCGTAGTGATAGTTATAATATCATCACTAAAGCAAGCATAAAAAGATAGGGGAAAACCTTCAATCATAGTTTGATCGTGTGTAAGTTTGAATGTCTTGTTTAGTTGTTAATTTGGATTTCTTATTATCATATTTATTCAGTCTTTAGAACATGTATTAGCTCAATCACTAATCTAATATTGAATCACAATTTTTAATCCTTCATTGATAATTGCTCACAAGTTAATTCTCACCAATTTAGTTCTATTTTTTATTAGTTTGGTACTTAGCTAGGTTGACTATTCTGTAGGAGTGGTTACTAGCAAACAAATTTGTGATTTCTTAATTTTATAAAGTTGATTAATTTGACAAGATATACCTATTATTTTCTCAACTAATTCTCTAGTATTATACATTGTTGACTTGTGAAACGCTTTCTAATTTCTATTATTTTTTCTCCAATTTAAATAAATGTAGTAATGTGAAAAAATCTAGTTAACATATAATTTAAAATTATATGAATCAACCAAATCCTAATCTAGTTCCGTGTGAATTAATAACGCTCAAATTGGTATATTATTTGACTACAACACAAAATTTCAACATAGATTAAATATAAAGTTAAGGTTACAAGTATTAAAAGAATTTAAACTATTATTTTTAATACATTATGAGATTTGAACCGTTGACTTTTAATCACATTTAATTTCTTCCTTTTACCTCATATTTGAGCTCTTTTAATTTGTTATCACTCATAAATGCAAACATGAATTTAGCTAAAGGAATGCTTCCCGTAGTTATATTCTTCAACGTTTACGAAAATGAATGTATGCATTTAATTCAAGGCAAGAAAAAATAGTTAATAAATAATTTATAAAAATGAGATATTTTTTGATCTCACGTAAAGATGATAATTTGGATTTGATAAGTAGCCTCAATACACTTACTCAATGAGTTTCTTAATTTCATCCAATGAATTTTCTCAATACTTAAAAATTATAAAGATATATTTCTCTCCAAAAATTTAAAATAATTATGACAATTAGAATACTTCTTACTCATGTTATTCTCTCCAACAATTTAAAATTGAATACTTTTTAAATATTATATAACAAAATATTTGACAACCGTTCGATTAAATCAAACCATTGTTATAATGCCATATGAGATATAATTGAAAATTACTCCCTATTTCCATGTCTATCCTCATTAATAAGATAACCTAATGATAAATAAATATAAAAATCGTATTAATTTCAAATATTTATTAAGAATATTTTTAGAAAAATTTCATAATTACTCTTTGAAAACACTGAAATGGCTTATATTTTTTAAATATGATATCTCTAAAAAATACATTGTAATTTTTACTCAAGTATTAAATTAGATATCCTTTTGTTAAAAAATATAAAATATTTTTAATTAAATATCACTTTCAATAAAGTAGTCACTTGTTTTTAAATTAATCATATCTTTTTATATTTATCTCTATTTAATAAGGTGATTCATCCTAAAAAATATAAAGTTATTTATTTTATATAAAAATTTTTTTAAAAAAATAATGATTATATTTTAAAAGATTAAAAAAATTATTTATTTAATCTCTTAAAAAATATTATATTTTTAAATAGGGGGAATATATATTTTTGTTAAAAAAAAACAATATTAGACACATGATACATGCAAGATAATAATAATACTAAATATATTTGTTTTTATTTTAGGAGAAAAATGCTTGTCTCTTTGTCGCCATATTGGAGAAATCAGCCTATAAATACGTGATCATCGGGATTTGGTTCCATGAAGGTTGAATGGTCCTAAGACGCAGTGTGTCCCGCCATTGAAGCCCGACTTTAGCTTCACCTACAGCTTCTTCCTCCTTCTCTTGCTCTTTCAACCTACCTCAATGACTGCCTTCTCGCTCGCTTCCTTCACTTTACCATCGCCATGTCTTCTTCTTCGTTCTCGTTCCTCTGTTCCATTCACTCGCAACCATTTGCAGGTACTTCATTTTCATCCTCTAATTTCGCTTCAATTCTTACATTTCCGTATGCTGAACCCTAATTTCATCCATCTTATGGTGTCCAATGTTGATTTGGGCCCTGCTTATGAGCAGAGCTCCTATAAGGCACCAATGGGTTAATCTTGTATTTTTCCGTTTTATGCTTAACAATTTGGCTTTTTGATAGCTTTTCCTGATACTGCTAACTGTTTTCTCTCTGAAATTTAGGCTTCAGTGATGCGAACTTGGAAAGTTGGAGCGTTTTCTTTCAATGGCAGTGAGAGGTAATCTTGCAGTTTGCAGGCTAAGTTGGCTA